CCCGCCGAGCAGGGAGCCCGATGTGGGACTCGATCCCAGGACCCCGGGATCATGACCTGAGCCGAAGGCAGACGCTTAAAGACTGAGCCACCCAGGCGCTCCAACAGAGCTTATTTTAAAGCTTTTTTGAACTTCAGCATTTTCCCTCATCCTACAACTATAGGCCAGTACATGTGGAACCTCAGTCAACCAGAAAAAGGAAAACGTAGGGACTGAGAATCAAGGTTTGTATTTAAGATAGGTCTTTCCTTCTGTATGTTTCAATTGTTTGACATCAGTCTTGGTCTGCCAGTTCTTATGGAACTAAGACTGATGGGATAAAGAGAAAAAAGAGGGAAGAGTTAGAAACTAGAAGTGATAAGCTGAGTTCTGCTTGCTGCCTTCTCTGGACTACTCCAGTTCGGTGTTTTGGCTCAAGGCTGGGAGGTCAAATGTACAGAACACTTCCTGGATCCTGGATGGCTTCCATTACATTACATTGACCATGGGCAGATCATTTAAACCTTCCGTAATTCACTCTCCACTTGTTAAAATGGAGCTTGTGTTTGCCCAACTTTCTCTCTTTCTGAGTTGTGCTGAAGGTCAAAGAATTGCTATGAAAATATTCTGAAAGATCTGAGGTCCTCCTGGGGTGCCCCTTAGAGGACCACTTTTTGAATCTATGTGGTTTCATCATTTAGAAGGGTGACTCCATGCCAGGTCTGATTAAGAGTGGCTGCTGCATGCTTGGCTAAAGCTTCTACTTATAATTCTACATCGGTATAGGTGACTCCTGGGACAAATATGGCTAAGGGATAAAATCACCAAGAAGCCCTCTTTGCCTGATGTCTAGCTTTAACAATATCATAATTAGGAGGAATTGCTGGCAAGTAGATGACTCATCCCAGGAGATATGGGCGTCCCTGAGTGCATTGTCCAATCCAGTCATAATGAAGGTGGGGCCATCTACTGTTTTCATAAATCCATAGCTAACCCCATGGAGTGGGGTATGCTATGGCTTTTATTTTATTTTAATTTTTTTACAGATTTATTTATTTATTTTAGAGAGAACACGAGTGGCAGAAGGAGAGGGGGAGAGAATCCCAAGTAGACTCCATGCTGAGCACAGAACCTGACACAGGGCTCGATCTCATAACTCTGAGATCATAACCTGAGCCGAAATCAGAGTCAGACTCTTAACCT